CTGGGTGGATCAGGTGAGTGGTCATGAATCCTACTCACGCCTACCCGGTTGAAAAACAAGTATGATATGAACAAAGCCCCAGTGGGATGGGGGGCCCGGGAGAGCAGACGGGCCTCACGCTCTCTCCCACTCAGGCCCAAATCGCAGCGCGGCCCTGCAGGGAGCTCCTGGGCCAGCCCCAGCCACCTGCTCTGCAGCCCCCGTGTTGCCAAGATGAGATAATCGATCTGCCTCTTGGGCTTCGAGGGACATTATTTAAAAGAGCAAACACAGAGGACCAGAACTCAACCAGCCCAAGTGCCCACCGACGTGCGTTGACCTGGGCTGGTTTCTCCATGAAAAACCACCTTCAAATGTTGGAGCGTTTCGGTTATCAGAATACCATGAGACAAAAATATTTTCTCAGTCAGTAGATGCAGGAAACTCAACCACGTGTTTTTTCCCCTTCTTAATTTTGATCCTTCAGACACAAAACAGCAGATGTAGCACCTGACATGAGAACAGCTCTTGAGAGTTTACGAAGCGCCCACACTACGTTCTCTTACAAGGCTGTGGTTGAAACAACCAAACCTGACCCCTCAAACTTCCAGGGAAATAGCAGAAACCACAACAGGCCTGGAGGCCACACGGGCCCCCCCGCAAAGCCCTAGGCGTGGTAATGACATTGTGCATCAGTTCGATACTGGGAATTGTATATAAAGTTACATGTGCCCCCAAACAACAGCAAGCAAGACGTATAATGTCAGTAGGACAGAAGCTGAGAAAGACTCCCAAGGCCAGTGACTTGTCCAAAGCCCCAGGGATGAGTGGCAGAGCCAGGTTCTTGGAATAGAGCTCTCATTCCTCCAAACCCCACTGTCCTTCCCAACCTCACGCTGCCTTCCTCCTGATACCACCAGCGCGCCTTCCCCGGCGAGACCACAGCACGGACAGGAGGATCGGGAGGCTGGCAAACATGGGGCAGGTGGACTGGCTGGGAGCCTCGAGATGCCGGGTCTGACATAAGGTACAAGACAAGTTTAGAAACATCCAGATGGAGGAAGAAGGGAACCTGGGCAAGAGGATGCCTCGTTCCCAGCGCCTCTATATCCCAGGTGACTGAGGGGACAACACAGAGTGGGCTCTCGCAGCAGGGACAGCCCGACGACATGCCATCCAAACCGAAAATCCAAAAGGGAGTTTCTGTGAAGAATCACGACCCCACTCTTTGGGCTGGATTACCTTTCCAACCATGTTGTCTCCTGGCCTATCTGAAAACACGCCTGCACTGTAAAATTCCACAGCTCTCTCCTATCTGCCCACTGAGCACAAGGTTCTGTGCTGACTTCTAGGAAGGATCCAACCAACCATGAATACAAGTGTCAATCCAGCTCAGTTCCAGTCCTGGGGCTTGGGAAAAGGAGGAGCAGGGAGCCAGGCTGAAAGGAAGAAGGCCACTCCTGGGGTCTCACTCATTCATTCATCCCTCCATCAAGGAGCACGGAGGGTCTAACGAGGTGCCTGGCACTGTTCTAGCTGCCAGGAATAGAGAAGAGAACAAGGTCTTTACAATGGAGTGGTAAGAGTCAATAAAGAGACATTCGAACATTAAATACTAAAAAGAAACACAAAGCAGGGTTAACGAAAAGGGGGGAAGTTATGTTAATTACCATACAGGGGTCAGGGAGCTGGCACAGAACCAGAGAACTGAAGTAAGTGAGGGAGCAAGCCAGGTGGACATCTGGAGGAAGGAAGCCATGCCAAAGAGAGGGAATGGCAGGTGCAAAGGCCCCGAGGCAGGCATAAGCTTGGCAAATTTGAGGACGAGGGGATAAGAGGAAAGGAGTCCACATTTAGCTGGGATCGTCAAGGATGGACACAAGGGCCCCAGGCCAAGGGGACAGGGTGTGAACAACCCAGGGCAAGCCTGGGCAGTGATCCCGTTTGCCTGAAGGGACCGTCGTTGGGAGCAAGGAAGGGAACTTGAGAAAGTCAGACCAAGGAATGTGGGTGTGCAGTGAGCATTGGAAGCCATGGAGGGCTTGAGCAAGGAACACCAAACCTGGCCTGGGCCCCACCTGCCGAGAGGAAATCCTGCAGCCCAACTTACAGAACCCCACAGCCAGCATGGAAATCCTAATTCCCTAATTCCTAACATGGAGGGCTCCACAGCACACTGGGGAACCGTGAGCCCCACGGAGAGAGCCTGGCTTTGTGACCTTGAGGTTACTGTCCTCCCTGGGCTCCCTCATGTGTCCAGGGGAGGACAGGGAGGGAATGAACTGACTTCAGGAAAGGCAGCCCACGCCAGCTGACTCAGCCCTGCCAGCAGGCTCCTCGGAGGCACGAACTGGACCCAACCCAGGCGGTGGGCGGGGGACACAGACAGGGGGATAGAGCCACAGAATCCTCCCTGCGGGCACATGGTCCAACCACCAACAGGCACCTGGGCCACCTTCTGGTGAGCAATCATCAGATGGGACCTACGTTGGGGCTCGAGCTGTCTGACGGTGTCTACACATCCCCATTCCTCAGGGCCACCTGGCACGGTCCCAGCTACCACCACCCCAGGCTCTCTCACACTCTCTCCATTTCTCTAAGACCAAGCTGCAAGGCAGGCGTGCTGGTTTCTGCCGCTTGTTCCAGAAGGCCCTTGAGGCCAGCTGGGGATGTTCTCAGGGCCTCTGTGCCCACCTGCCCCTAGCTGCCTCTGACTCCCCTGACAGTAAAGGTCTCTCCAAGAGTTCAGACTGTGGTGTCACCAGAGGCCCTCACCTGTTGAGTCACCAGCTCAAGCACACAGAGCCAGGACAGGGAGGAGCTGAGACCCAGAGGGAACCGGTATGTCTCTCCCCCAAGACAAGCTGCAGGCACAGGGCGCCCAATCCCTACAAAGCCCGGCCTGATGCTAACCTCCCCATCCAATGTGTTTTTCCTCTGAGTTCCTCAGCTGTGTCTAGGAAAAATCAAGGTGTCTTAGCGCTCCCTCTCAGTTTCCAGGGGTGCGACTGGTGTCTTTTACAATTATCTTTTATTTTTACCCAGCATTTCTTAGTTTGGTTGGCAGATTGAATTATTTATACACCTCCATTTCACAATCCATCCCCACCGATTATTCCTGTGAACCTAATATTTTATATAAAAAGGGGGGAGGGAGTTATAACCACTCAGGGGATGCTTATGCAAACAAATTAATGAGCCACACTCGGGCCTTGGGTGCTGCAGGAAAGAAACACTGGAGGAAGAGAGTAAGAAGTTGACCACCACCAGCTTCACTCTCCTGACAGCGCCTACCCCCCTCAGACACACACACACACACACACACACACACACACACCCCACACCCCACCTCCCCCAACCATCTGGTTCAGCCTGCACTCCTCCCAGACGCAGAAGCCCAGTACTCTGGAGATGGAAAGGCAGGCCGGGGCGGCGGCGGGGGGGGGGGGGGGGGGGGGCACCACCATGATCCCTAACAAATGGCAAGAGGTCTGGAGAGACACAGGCTGCCTCCCACAGAAGACCCTGGCAGGGCCCCATCACTAGACCCAGCCCAGCAGACCCAGCCCAGCCCAGCTCCAGAGACCACTCCAGGGGTCTCGCCACCAGCACTAAGGAGGCTGCCAGCTCAGTGCAGGGACCACCAGCAAGCTCCAGCTGGTCCACTAACTCCCTGGACACCGCCCAGAGTCGCACCAGCTTCCATGTCAGGAGACCCTCTCGAGCCCTGGCTGCAGACGACCAGCCTGGAGTGAGGACACAGCGCAGGACATCCTGGCAGCTCTGGACTGAGAAACAGAACCACGTGCCCTGCACAGTGGAGGAGAAGTCCCCGCCACCACCTCACCAGGGTCTAGCCCGGAGGCTCTGGGTAGCCACAGAGGACCTCAAATGTGCACCTTAGGAAAAGTTGTCCTGCTTCTACTCCCGAAGTCATTATTGCTAAAACCGCTGTGGTTTCTCAAAGAGAGGGGGGTTGGGGGGGGGGGAGAATCCCAGAAAGGGGGCCAGAGGTTGAAGAAGCCTGGGACAACTCAGCCCACGGGAAGAAGTGCTGGGATGAGAGTCCTGAATGTGGGGGACTTCACCGTCTGCATGGTCATCCGTGAGTTTTTAACCACAGATTTGAGACTGGCCCCTGTCAGGCAGTACACGAACAGATCTGAAAAAAATTAAGTCCTCCCCCTGCAAGTAAATACTAAGTTAAGACGAGCAGACTCAATCTCAGCCTCCACGCGCGGCGAGGCTCAGACAGGGCGGGCCCCTCGCCGGCGCCCTCCGGACCCTTCCTCGGCGCCCGGCCCAGGGCAAGTTGGCCCCCCGCCGCGGCACAGCGAGGCCCGCCGCCCGCCGCCCAGCTCGGGGGGCGGGGGGCTCGAGGTTCGCCTGGATCATCAGTGGCCCAATCTCCCAGCAGCAACCCGGCCAGGCTGTGCGCGCCGCGGGGAAGGGGCCGAGGCGAGCGGCGGGTCGCGCCGCACCCCCAGCCCCGCGCCGGCGGCCCAGGGGAGCCAGGGGGTGGAAATTTCAATTGAGGAGTTTCTCATTAGGAAGCGAAATGGGAGGGGGCGAAGATCGGGACTCGCCTTCCCGGGAGGCAGGAACCCCAGAAACGACCCCAAACTCGGGACCTGCCCTGCACGGGGACTTGCTGCCAGCGCCGAGCGGGGCCGCGGAACGCACCAGCCGCCCGGCCAGCCCGGCGGGACCCGAGCGGGCCGCCACCGCCGGCCAGCGCCCTCCGTCCGCGCAGGGTCGCCCCTCACCGCGGCGTCTCCCGCCCGGCATGCGCGAGCCTCCGGCTCGGCCTCGCCGCGCCCGCCGGCCGGTCGAGGGGGCGCCGGTCCGTCCCCCACCCCCGCCCCCAGACCCCAGCGGCGCCCGGCCACCCCGCAGTACCGCGGGTCCGGGGGGCAGCGCTCGGGCCGCAGCATCCGCGCCCCGCCCCGCGCCCCGGCACCCCCCGCCCCCTCCGCGCCGGCCCGGACGCCGCCAGGCTGCGGCCGCGGCCCCCGGCTTACCTGGCCCGGGCGCGGGGCCGCGCGGTGCACGGCCGCCCCCGCCCCGCCGCCGCCGGCTCCGTCCGCGAGGCCGAGCGCCGGGCCGCCGCCGCAGCTCTTTGTGAGCCCGCGCCGAGCCGCACACCGAGACTGCTAATGAGCCCGGGAAGCTGAATAGCGGCGGGCGCGCCCCGGACGCGGCGTACGGCACGCAGGGCCGCCTCTGCCGGGCGCACGCGGCACCGGCCTGCGGGGGCCGCCCCGCGCCCCCGCGCCGCCTCGCCCCGCCTCGCCTCCCCCCTCCCCGCCCCCCGCCCGGGAGCCGCCGGTCGGAACTCGCCCGCGGGCGAGAGCGGGCAGCGGGAAGGAAGGGAGGACAAAGATGCGTTGGTGCCCAGCCCCCTCCCGGAGCCCGGCGCCTGGACAGTCGGCGGGCGCACCTGGGGCCCGGGTCCTTCGGGGCTGGGCTCGGGGACAAGGACCGGAGCCCGGGCTCTGGCCGCCGCGGCGCCCCGACCGCCCCCGGCCCTGGGGAGCACACCGATTCCCGGGCGCGCCCCGGACCTGCCGGATCGGGAGCCGTAGGGTCTGGTCTTCAGGCGGGTCGAACAGGTGACGGCGAGCTCCACCGCGGCCGCACTCTGCCCCGGGCGCCGCGCTGCCCCCTGGCGGCCTCGGGAGCGCGTGCGGCGCGGAGGGGCCGCGGCGACCGCACCCAGCTCGGCCCCGCGCGGCGGCGTGCGGAGGCCCCAGGCGAGCAGCCCTCGGGGATCGCAGCCTCTCCGGAAGCGCCACCTGGGAGGGGAGGCTCCGCCACCGCAGGCCCCCCAGTCGCGGGCTGTATTCCAGGTCTTCTCCAGCCTCTTGTTTCTAATACTCAGCGCTACCTGAGCCCTCCACTGCTGACCTCCCCTACCTGGGGCCCGGCCCGAACGCGCGCTCTCCTAGCCGTCCTGAATGGAGAGGACCCTAAGCTCGTCCATTTCCAGATACCTACGCACCTCCCAAGGAGAGTCGGTGATGCACCCCCCCCTACACACACACAGTGTGAATAATCCTCCCTGAAGCCCTTGAAAGTTGTCCTGAAGACGCTGGTGTCACGTTTGACCCCCCTGGCCCTTTCATGCGGTCCTGGGGCAGATGGAGTAACCTGAGGGCTCAACCTGGATGAGTGCACGGGGTGCCTTGTAGGCTCAGAGCAAGGGCTCAGGTGCCTCCTCTCCCACATCCTGATTATTTGCCTTCTGTTTTCTTTTGTCCTTTGGCTGGATTAGGGTGAAAATGTGGTGGGGGCAGTTCTGAAGAGGATTGCTCCTGGAGGAAGAGGAGGCCGGGGTGGGGGGGGAGCCCCTTCTCGCGCTCCTCTGAGGGTCAGAGCCCAGACCCAGAGGAAAAGGGGCTGGGGAAAGCTAAATCCTGAGCCGGACTAGCACCAGCCGCAGACTTAGGGTGGACTTCCCGTGGCCCTGGGCTCCCTCCCACTCCCCAGTCGCCTCTGCCAGCCCAGTAAGCCAGAGCCTCCAGTCAGGGGGAAACTGATCCTAGTAGGGCAGCTTTGTAGCCCAAGTGCCAAGCAAAGGCAGAGAAGGCAGAGCCCAAAAGCGGGCCAGGGGCAGATTCCTGACCTACTGCCCCTTGCCCCTGGAGGTGAGCTTATCTCCACTGTTTGTGTTCCACCTACTTAAGCATTCTGTTCCTCTAGCCAACAAAAATTTCAGCTTCATCTAGCCTTCTAGGGCCCCAGCTTTTCCCCAAATGCCAATGACTGGATAGAAACAATTGGGAAGAAATAATTCCATAGCCTTAAATGTCAAGTATGAAATCCAGGTGCATTCATCTTTTCATCTTACCTAGCTCCAGTGTGGTCAGGTTCCTTAGGATAGCAGGCACTTATGCCTGGAAATGATCTGCACAGCCTTGCGCATCTGTGAATATGGGCAGGTGGCTAATTCCGCGCTGTTCCCTTCCACGACTCTCCTAGCACTCTTGCCATGGGCAAGGTCTGGGCCAACCACTGGGGTCAGACCCTATCCCTGCACACAGGAGCAGTCATGGCTGAGGTCCACAGTCCACAGGGTTGAAGGCACAGGCCTGCCTCCGCCTCCCTCAAGACTCCTAAATCTGGTGAGTCTGGCCAACCGTCATTATTCAGAGAGTTTTGAAAGAATTTTGGAACAAGAAAGACCCAAGTCTTCCACGAAACTTAAAAAGCCACAACATAAAAGATTGCTAAATTTGATTTCAGAAAACTTCCCGCATGCCAATCATCATCATAAGCAAAGTCAACAACAAATCAGGAACAAAATATCTGCAACTCAGGACCATTAGCAGTTCATTTCCCTAATATATACATATCAAAATATATACTTACATATATATATAAGTACATATATATATGTGAGTATATATACTTATCAAAAATAGATAAGAAAAAAGAACAACTCCATAGAAGAAAAAATAAAACAGACCAAGATATGAAACAGTTCACAGGTAAGGAAGCACAAATGATTTTTGAACGTCTGAAAAGATATCCTCCTTATTCATAATTAGAAATGCAAATTAAAACTACACCTAGACACCATGGTTTTTACCTCTCAGAGACCCAGGCGTACACACGATATGTCCCAAGGACGAGGGGAAACTTTCGGAGTCCCACACTGTGGGGGAGTGGAAATTGGTACGACTTCTATGGTGGAAAATTAGATCACTTCTAGGGAAATTACAAATGCACAAGCCTTTTGACCTAAAAATTCCGTTTCTAGGAGTTTTTATACACATACACTACACACATGCAAAATAGCATGAGGAGAATTATCCATTGTGTCGTTTGATATCCGTGAACAGCAGACTGTTCAGGATGTGAGGGTACGTCCACTCAGATTATATGCAGCCAGAAGAGGAGGAAAAAAGGAAACATGATGAATTAACATGGAACGTGCAAGATACACTGTTAAAAGAAAGAACAAAGAGCAGAAGGTGTGTGTAGTGTGCCAGGGTGCGTAAGACAGAGAACAAGATAAAAGAGGGAGTGCAGCCATGCCTGCCCACGATCATAAAGCCTTTCCTGAAGGATCATCTGAAACTAATAAATATTGGTCGTCTGTGGAAAGTAAACTGGTGACTAGGGCAGGAGGGCCAGGATGACTTTTCATTCATTATATATTTTTTGAAGTACATAATATTACGCTATAATAGTATTATTATTTATCCCCAAACAAAATCTTAAATTATCCTTCATAACCCTGGTTCTTAACCCTTTAAAGGGTAACAGACTTCTGAAATCTCTGATCTTTTCCCCTGGGGAGGAAAACAATACACACTCTGATCCAGAAACGGAGATGCATACTGCAGTAACCCCACCTTTGGACAACATGGCCATGCGACCTACCGCCACTTAGTGGTAGTATCTATGAATTGCAGGCGTGGTGCCAACCCCTTTCAGCCCAGAGAAGCTTCCCACCAGAACAGATTTCCTACCGGGCATTTATAAAATGGAGCCCAAATTTTGTCAATTCCTCAGCACTTACCATAACTTAGTTTTGTTTTGTTTTGTTTTTTAAAAGATTTTTTATCAAGCAGGGGGAGCGGCAGGCGGAGGGAGAGGGAGAAGCAGGCTCCCTGCTGAGCAAGGAGCCCAATGCAGAACTCAATCCCAGGACCCTGGGATCATGACTGAGCCAAAAGCAGATGCTTAACTGACTAGGCCACCCAGGTGTCCCTCACCATAACTTTGTTTTAAAAAATAACACACGCCTTCCTTATATAGGGCAGAAGATTAATGCTCTGCCTTAACGTCTGGGGAGGACATTCCCTCATAAAACTCCTGCATGACAGAATATTAATTTTTCTTCTGAAGCCGAGTATATAAATGGGTTTGACTGATAAGGACATGTCCCCTGTCTGTGGGGATGGCAGAACAACTCATCTCCCATAAAGTTACAACTAGGCCAAGTTGGGTCTCACCTCTCCCGTTAATTCCAAGCCCTTGAGCTTTTCTTCCTTACCTCTTCACCCCTTCATCCTTGTGTAGTCAAAGTGCCTTGAACTGGGAGCCAAGGGGCCACTATTCTCATCCCAGCTAAGGCACCAGCCAGGACAAGGCCTCGGGTAGATCACCTGAAGCCTCCATTGTATAGTTTTCCTTGTCTGTTCGGGTGAGGAAGTTGGCCTCTAAAGTCCCAAAGGTCCAGGACGTATGAGAAGAAATGTCATCTAACTCCCCACCCCGCCCTTGAGAATCTCTTGATGCTCTTACCTTCAGGATTTAAGTCAGTGGGAAGATTCACCAACCAGGTCACACTCTGGTTTTTCCAAGACCCCATGCCTTTAAATACCATGAAAGCAAAGTACCTTCTTAAAAAGTAAATATCATTGATTTTTTTTTTTTTTTTACTGATTTCAGGACACAGATTCTGCAACAAAATTCAGGCTTTATAGCAATAAATAGATGATTACAAACAATGAAACCCCTGGCTCCTGAGCCTCCAGATCTTGGCCTCAGGAACCACACAGAACAGTCTGCAGGAGCATGGAGCACGACCTTTACCCTCAAGCAGGACCTTGGAGGGGGGACCCCTGGTGTGGGTGCTGGCATGGGTCTGGGAAAAGCAGAGGTTTGTTGTTTTGGGTGATGCCCACAGTGCAGACCTTCTTTACTCTAGAGACTCTCTAGGGTAGATAACGGAGGAGAGCTGGTAGAAGCCATGAGGTATGGATGTAGGTGCAGATAGTAGGTAGGTAGTGCAACAGAGAGAGCAGGGTGGACAAAGCACGGTCCAGCGCAGACAGTCACCTGAGCGTGCGGTGGGCCCTCTTGGGAGGGACGGACTACGACTCCAGCTGCTGTTCTCTGAGATGCAACATGAAGGAAGCCACAGAGGGACCAGGATGACCCAGATTAAAGCCTGGAGGGGCATCCAGACAGGACCCCAGGACCCAACCTAACAGTTCTAGAGAGGTCTGCTTTGGGCATGTCCAGAGGGCATGTGTTTGGGAAGCAGTGGCCAGGCATAGTCAGAGACTGGGGGCAGAGCCCACCATGGAACTTCATCATGGCAGGGGCCCACAGGGGCCCAGAGCTCCAGCAGGACCCATCTTGAAGGTTCATTGTTGGTATCAAAAGCTTCTGCCTTCAAGGCCTGACTACACCTGTTCTGGAGCCGCTGAGCATTTGGAAGGGGTCTGAACCCCCTCAGCAAGGAGCAGTCTCAAAGAGGACGCT